GCTCCACGTCACCCTGCTCCACGTCACCCTGCTTGACCTCACCCTGCTCCACCTCACCCTGAAGCTCCACCTCACCCTGAAGCTCCACCTCACCCTGCTCCTGCTCAGCCGGCTGCTTTGAGGTCCGCTGCGCATCCAGCCGTGCAGGTGGCTCCGTCGGCTGTGCTTTCGTCTGCAGAGCAGTCTGAAGCATCTGAGCCGGCTGCTGCTCTGAGGTCCGCTGCGCATCCAGCCAAGGTGCAGGTGGCTCCGTCGGCTTTGCTTTTGACTTCAGAGCAGACCGCGGGTCCATGGCAGCTCGTGTTTCGGTGACCTAGTGTGTCAGGTTTTTTTGGCTGCACCTGTACATAGAAGCCCTTCAGTGGAATTCCTGTCCTTTAAGATTTCTCTATTGCACCTATACTGCTTGTGTTTCGGTGACCCACTGTATGAGCCCTGCACTCGAGCCTCAACGGTTTCAGAGGGTCACTGGCAGAGTGGCACTTGTGCGCTGACAACAAACATCAAGATCAGAGTCAGCCAGCTCACAGTCAGAAAGCAAAGCTTCTTTGCTATCACTTGTGCTTGCGAGCATTTGGTGAAACAGTGAAGGTCGCACTGCCTTCCAAACATGATCGACGCAACGATGGGCCGACTCACAAAGCTCTGGAACACAAGAACTCCAAGAAGATCACTGGTAAGTATTCCAAGACCGCACAAGTAGCCACAATCATCCCACATCATCCTGGTGTTCCTGGGAGATCAACGGCGCTTCAGTGGGTTTAGAGGTTTAGCAAAGTAAGGGTATGGAGTCCGAGTGCATCCCAGGCCACTCAATCTGAATCCTCGGGCTCCTTGTCGGGTGTTACAACCGTGGTGGGCGATTGCGACTCTGCAGCAGACGAGGCGGCAGCTTGCAAGGCGGCAGCTTGTAACTCTTCCAGTCTCATCGCGAAGATGGCTTCTTTTGCCTGGAACAACTCAACATTTACCCCCAACCCTAAACCCTAAAGACAAACATGCACCCCTCAACCCCAAACCCGGTTTGGTCGGCCTTTGTGATTTCGTCTGCCTTCTGGATCCGGAGGTCAACCTCTAGCTTTGCGACTTCGTCTTTCTTCTGGCTCCGGAGTTCAAGGATACGTTCCTTGTGAGCTTTCAGCAGCGCTTGCTGGAACGACTTTAGCTCCTTGAGGGATGCATTAAGACTGCAAGTTGCAAGTGTTTGCATGTTTTTGCTTCCCGACCTGGCCTCGTTCTCTTTCAAGAGAAGGTCTCTCTCCTGCAGGAAAACCCGACCTGGCCTCGTTCTCTTTCAAGAGAAGGTCTCTCTCCTGCAGGAAAGCTAGGTTGACCTGGAGGGCGAAGCCATGCTGCTGCTCGAGGTCATGCTGCTGCTGCTGCAGGTTGTCAAACTTCTCCTCTGGGCAACAGCTTGAGGGATGTTTTAAGATTGCAAATTGCAAGAGTTTGCATGTTTTTGCTTCCCGACCTGGCCTTGCTCTCTTTCAAGAGAAGGTCATGCTGCTGCTCGAGGTCATCCTTCTGCTGCTGCAGGTTGTCAACCTTCTCCTCTGGGCAACAGCTTGAGGGATGTTTTAAGATTGCAAATTGCAAGTGTTTGCATGTTTTTGCTTCCCGACCTGGCCTTGTTCTCTTTCAAGAGAAGGTCTCTCTCCTGCACCAGAGCTAGATTGGCCTCGAGACCGAGGTTATGCTCCTGCTGCAGCTTGTCAAACTTCTCCTCTGGGCAACAGCAGGGTCCGGGCAAGTAGGGTCAACAAAAAACAACTCCCATGAATGGACATGCCGGGCCTGCAGGTCTTTAAGCTTCTGCTTCAAGTCGTTGCACTGCAATCGCAAGTCTTTGCGCTCCCGGCCACTGGGAGTGTTCTTCTTTCTCAGGTTCTGCTCTTTTTTCCCCATTGAGCCAGTGGAATTCCTGTCCTTCAAGATTTCTCTATTGCGCCTGTACTGCTCATGTTTGGTGACCGAGTGTGTCAGTTTTTTTGGACGCACCTGTGCATAGAAGCCTTTCAGTGCAATTCCTGTCCTTTAAGATTTCTCTATCGCACCTATACTGCTCGTGTTTCGGTGACCGACTGTATGAGCCCTGCACTTGAGCCTCAACGGTTTCAGAGGGTCACATTCTGATTCGTTTCATGACTGCTGGCAGAGTGGCACTTGTGCGCTGACAACAAACCCCCCCCCACACACACACACAAACCGCAAGAACAGCTCTGAAATGCATTTCTGCACTACTGTCAGCTTAGTGCCGCACAGTGTTGTTGGTGTGGAGTTCTCGAAGTGAAGCAACATGCCTTACAGCGACAAACAGGACAAAGCAAAAAGTCAACATTCACATGGCTTCACCACAGGATCAACAGTGTCTGCTCATGCCCAGAAGAACTTACCAGTATCCACCTGTTCAAGCAAACCACTAGGAAAACCCTTGCCGAGGGCAGGACTGCTGAAGAAGAACAAATCTGGGTCGTCGCAACTTGCCCAGAATGCAAGGAGAGGGGGGGTGGGGGGGGGGCTGGGGTTGACAGTTTACAGTTTGGTTTGACAGCATGATCGCCCCTGTGCCCCCCTTGAGCCTGGAATGACAAATTGGGTCTTGCTCTGCTCAGGCAGCGCCTTTCGATTTTGAGCTGCACCCCTGCTCCTTGGGTTAGGGTCCAGGGTTTGTTGTTTAGGGTTTTGGGTTTCGGATTCAAGGCTGCGCCTTTCGGCACAAACCTTTTGGAGGCAGCGCCTTTCAGCACAGTGCCGACTTGCTCCTTGGGTTAGGGTTCAGGGTTTGTTGTTTAGGTGTTTAGGGTTTTTGGCTTCGGATCTAAGGGTTGGCAGCAAACCCTAAACACCAACTAAACCCGAAACCCTGCAAAAACCTGAGGGCCCAATTGCTCTTCCTGAAGGAGCGTTGATGCTGCGACTGAGGCTCTGACATCCTTGGTGGCAAGATTTTTATGCCGCCCTGCCCCCCCCCCCCCTTTCTGCTCCATCTCACAAACCCTCCCGACCCATCCCTGCTGGATTACTGAGGCTTTGAAGGCACAACTATATAAGCACTGTGCTGGAACATTGAGCTGTGCAGCTTAGAGTCAATTTTTTTGGGGCCGTTTTTTTTTATTTAAGTTTTAAAAAGCATTTTTTTGAGAGCCCATGTTTTAGAACCATCTTTTTTTCAGCCATTTTTTCAACTCATCAAGCAGTCATCCTGACATAATGCATGCTATATACAGGTTTTTTTGGCTTATTTTACATGCATGTGTTTGGTTGTGAAACCTCTGATTGGTTTTGAAACCTCTGAATGACACGATCATGGCTTAGTTTTTAGCCCTTGCTTTTGCAACCGCTTTCTTGCCGCAAAAATATATATGCCTACCCAACACCTGATGTCTGTGTGGTCGTGTAAGACGCGGCTGTCTAGTGCAAGAGCAGATCCGTGCGAACGGCGAGACACCCATGTGTGCCCGCGCAACAGCATTCGTGCACGATCTTGTCGCGAGCCTTTCCGTGTGTGTCGCACCGGAGTGTGTCGCGCCGGACGCAGCACGCGGCACGGAGAGCGCAACAGCGCATGCAGCAGTATCTTGATATGAGTATATTGAAAATACACACGATATTTATGCGAACAGAATGAGATCCATGTGTGCTCGCATCAAACGCAGCAGTTGAGCCACAAGACCGCGACGGACAGCCGAGATTGTCACGCCGGCGGAATTTTTGCGTGCCTAAAGATGTGTGTGTGTGTGTATGCGCGCGTAGCAAGTTTTGGTTCCTATAGCTCCCCAACAGCGAATACGCTTGGGGTTTGTAATCTGGTGAGCCCAAGCCCTGCTCCCTCAGATTTTTGGAGATTTTTGGGGCAATTAAACTCTGCACTAATGTTGACTTCACATTAGTGATTCCCGCTACAATTGTAAAATCCAGCTGCCGGAACACAATATTGCAACCCGCCACAATTGTAAAATCCAGCCCGGAATATTTTCTAAAAGTGATCCCCCAGAGGCTCGCAGTAGAGGCTCACTTAGCCCACTGTGGTGGCACCGGGACAGCTAGACCTACCAGGATTTAGGCGAACATTATTGAGGAGGCCCTGGCCGGAGAGATTGATCAATGAAGGGGGGGGGGGGGGGTTTATTAATGCGAAGTCAACATTAAACACTGTACCTGAGGTAACACACATTGTATTTCAATAATCACCCCCCCCGCCCCCTTCCCCCCACTAAGCAAAACCAAACTCTGTACCAGGGTTTATGCTTATCTGGCCCCGCAATATTTATGTGTGGGAAAAACTCAGTATTTCAATATTGGGCTGGATCCAAGATCCAAGATCCAATATTCCACAGAAAGTGTTTCAAGGTGATACAAAAAAGCCCCTGCTCTGGTCAAGTGAGAGTTTAGGGAGATGAGGAGGTTTGCAAACATACAAATATTCAGGACCTCTGGAAAGAAGAGAGGACGAGGGAAAAGAAGGACCGACTACGAAAAATTTAGTTTATATATATATATATATAGCTAAAATGTAAGCGCTTGTTGCCTCTAACATAAAAGCTTATTGTGTTAAAAACTACGCTTGTTAAAACAACAGGCCCTTATGCTAACCGCCTGTTACACTTACAAAAGTCTCTTGTAAGAGGTGCTTAAAGCTGATATAAGCGTCTATTGAAGGGTCAGGGCATAGCAAGACAACGATTGCAAAAGCAAAGGCTAAAAGCAACCCACGCTGTTGGGGTCTGTTGCTTGCTGAGATAATTTCCAAAAACCAAAAACTTTAGTTAAATTAAGTACTGTGCTTGTTCACGAAAAGAAGAAGGAACATGATTTAGCTCATTCAATGAATGCTTAAGTGAAGCCACTAGGTCAGGTTCCCTATTACGCATTATGTTTTAATTAATGTAGTGTATGAACAAGTTTAATTACAGGCCTGTCTTTTCTAGCACAGAAGCAAAAACACGTGTAACATGATTCCGTCGCACGCTGTGTTGCACTGCTTGCTGCGTCTGTCGCCTATGTGTTGGGCAGTATCCTCCATTCCGTTCATGCGATTCAAAAAAACACGTTTTTTTGTAAATCCTACGAAAACAACACTCTTTTTTAGTAAAACCTAGGCGCTACGGGGGGGGGGGTAGCATATTTGAAGCTTCCGAAGTTGCTCAAAGATGCCAACGATCCAAATTACTGTATTCCAGAGGTTTCTGTGAATCGCGCAGATTTTGAGATTTTAGCACCCCAGGATTCCGAGGACCTGGAGAAGGCCTTGAAGCGTTTGGAGTTGATGGACCCCGAGCAAAGCAATCAGTTGACAGAGATCGTGACCACGACTCTCATGCTGCTCCGTCTCCAATTTGGTGTTGTCCTTTTCTGTGTGCGTGCATGCTTGCCAAGCAGAAGTCTTAGAATCTGCGCATGCCCTCAACGCAACAGCCCTTTTGTCGCCACATGGTCCACATTCAGAGACGAGAGCTTGGGCAGGGTATTGTGCTGATGATCAAGAAGAGCCTACGAGCACTATCAACATTTTGATACATGTTGGGTACCATCACTGCGTACTCGCAATACTGTTCTTGTTTTTCTGATGCTGTTCATGATGGAGGGCTCCAGTGCTTGCCCTCCGTCGCTGACACACTCGCTCGCTTTCCATCTCTTTCCCTCACACTTGCACACTCACTCTCACTGTCTCCGCCTTTCCCTCAGTCATGCAGTGACACTTTCGATGCTCTGAAATTCACACTCCGCAAGCTCAGTCAGTCAGTCAGTCACTCACTCACACCATCATAGAAGCTATCACATACAGTTGAGCTGTCTGGCTGCCGCCCGCATGCGGCGGTGATGTGTTGAGTGTAAAGCCGCAAAAATCCACCCCACCAGCGAGTTCAGCACGGAACACGAACTACGCAGCCATGCCTGCCGAATGGGTTTCTGGAAGGAAGGTGGGTTAACTTTTTTAGAGGTTGGGTCCTGTGGCTTCCGTCAGGTTCAAAGGCGGCACCGGAGAGCTGTCGCACAAGGCGCCGCCTGGCGCCTGATGCGCCTTCCAGCCCAACGCGTATTCTGGCTTTCGGGAGGGCAAAGACCCACCCGACATTTAACTACCCAGTGCAGCGCTGGCAGAGAGGACTTCTGTCATGGCAGACGAGGCATCTACAAGAGTCGAAATTCACGCCCCTGCTTCGGCAGGTTGTCCAGATGCCCCTGTCACGTCACAGACCATGTGCCGCTGAAGGGTCTGAGCATGTGCCATGCAGCCTGCAGTACCTGCCTCCTCCGCCAGCCGGGCTTCTGGGCTGCACAGCCTAGGGCCTCAGGCAGAATGCTATAGGCTGTGACGGAGAAGCTATCGAGGCACTAAACTTCAAGAACTTTAGTCCTGGAGGATGGATTCAGCAGTATAAGGTCGATCCTATTCGCACTGAGGAACATAGGCCGAACCGGTCCGGAAAGGCGCACAAGACAGCATGGAAGCTGTAGGCGAGCAGTTAAGTTCAGTCTTTGTGTCTCTGCAGCCATGCAGGCCCAACAGACATGACCTTGACATACCGCAATCGGTAGTCTGCGCACCTGGGTCGGCTTGAAGCCTTGATTCCTCAAAGTTCCAAGGGCTAAACTAAACTGCCACTTCGATCTAACGCGTCGAACCTTCGGTTTATGCTTGCAAGTGCGCATGGGATTCCTGTTACCCCAGCTTTGTCGAAAGGGCGTTTGAGCCAAACATGACGCACGTGCTCGTCAAAGTTACGAAGGCACAGATGGCCACTTTGCAGACCACTGAGTGCAGACACTGCAGGGTCTTTGGTGGTTTGGCGGATGATCCGTTGAGACAAACACGAAGTGCCTTTCATGTTCCCCCAATGTGGTGCAGGAGTTCGGTTAGGGGTTTGAAGCTCGGCAGGGTGCTACAGATGGCCCATCGATGCCCATCGCCCGTCACTGGTCATTCCTACCTTCACATCGCAAGGGTTAAGACCCGAAACGCTTCGCGCCCTGCACCCTTGCAGCTTCTTGGAGAGGCACGCCGAAGCGCAGCGCTGGCGCGAGCGCTGTCTGAGTTGGGCAGCTCGGTTCCCAAAACCCAACCAGTGGACCCTTGCTAGACTTGAATGCCGGCATTAGGTCTCAGAGGTTTCACAGACTCAGTGTCCTGACTTTGTGAAGTTTACCAGCACCTAGAGCTCCCTGTACCAAAGAGAGGTCATTGGAGAGGTCACCAGCCCAAGGCATCTTTACGGGGGGTGGGGGGGGGGTGTGGTGTAGATTATTAGACATATCACAATCAGTATAATGAAAATCATCATCATACTCAAAATCATAAGCCCTTAATCCTAAACCCCTGAACCCCCAAGGTTTAAGAAGCTTCGCTCGGCCTAGTGGCTCAGGCTTCTCCGTCTTGAAGCAACTGCCAGAGCACCACAAGGCATCATGCCTACCTGGAGGTGCAGGGGAGGTGTAATCAGTTATCAGGCAACCGTATGTCGGGCCATGTTTAGGTGGGTGTCTACGCGAATGATTTGCATACGTTGTGCCTACCCTGCACCTCCGCATGTTCAAGCCGTTACGTGCTTGTCTCCCCCGCTCCGCCTTTCCTGGATCACAATTGCCAGGAATTCCGGATGCATGAAAAGACCTGACAGTCAAGCTGCACTCACATTTAACTTCACTTTACAAGACATGCCCCTTTCAAACCACCTTACGCAACCCAAAGCTGATTTGCAGTATTCCAAATTCGCTCACCGGACCGGATGACACCCCTGGAATCCCCAAACCCCAGCCAGCGTAGCATAGCGTAGCCAGCGCAACCCTCCAAGTCGTGGCAGACAGACTTGAAGGGTTTACCCGTGTTTACCTGTGACCTCAAACCCTGCCGGTTTGCCAGCTAGAAGGGTTACAACCCCAGAGTTCTAAAACCCTGAGAGAGCTTGGGAGGTTCTAGGGGGCCCTGCTCTCAGCTCGGATTTCAAGTTTCGGCCCTCTGCCTGCAGCTCCTCGTGGCGGCCCCAAAAGGGCCCTGGCTGCCGCGACTCCGAGGCGTAGGAGGACGGCACACTCGGCAGGGGGAGGGATGGCTCGGGGAGCATCAGGAACCCGACCCTCTAATTGCAAAGCCGCCAACATCCTACACTCATACAGTTTGCCGGGTTTTCGTGGCTTCATTCAGGGTCGAGATTGAATCTTCCTGACTTGGTAGCAGTTACGCAAAGTTCCTTGGTGTTTGCTTGTGCACGGACCTCGGGTCACGTATCCTCGAGTCACGTATCTGCTGTCCTGAAGGCTTGCTGCTTGCTCTTCATAGTGTCTGTCGCCAGAACCGTCGTTGGCATTCCATCGTTGAAGGGGCTTGAGCAGGAGTCACATCATGATCATGGAGCAATCCGCCCACTGCAGGTGTGGAGAGGGTTCACATCGCCACCCTCCTGGCCGAGAACTGGGCGGATTTCTGCCAGAAAGTCCAGGAGGCACGGTAGGAAAATCAACCAAACGTGGCCTACTTTGAAGCTTCCAGGCTCCGAGCTGGATGCCTGCTTCACCATACAAAGGCATCTTTCTATGAATCCGGACCAAGAGAACCCTCCTTCGCCCGCACGGAGCCTCCGAAGCCTCTCTGGATGCATATCTATCTATCTATCCATCCATCTATCTGTCTATCTATCTATCATCTCTCTCTCTCTCTCTCTCTTTCTCTCTATCTCTCTCTTTCTCTCTCTATCGCTCTCTTGTATACATGTGTGTATATGTAGTTACGCTTGAATATTATATGCATAAAAACGTGAACCACTGAATGATAACGATACATGTAAATATAGATATATATATATATACACATATGTATCCATCCATTCATCCAGCCAGCCATGGATCTATCTATGCGTCTATCCATCTCTCTGCCTCTCTCCTCTCTGATCCAACAAGTGCAGAATTACGCGCCATCACCCATTACCACATCCCTAGCCATAGGCGACCTCATGCAAAACAAGTCTACTCCCACACGGCATGGGCCACACTCACTTGGCGGCTTCGCTGGAAGACCCCGACTTGCATGATGCGCACTCGGATTTTTCGGTTTCACTGAAGGACCAGCCTGTCAGATCAAAATTAATTCCTTGCTCCTCTCCATCAGGCGATCAAGCGATGTCATAGAATTTTTCACCAGAGCAGTAGCGACAGACAGGGAGAAGATCCTTTTTAAGAGTTTGGAGACGGAGAGGTAAACTGGCTGGGACAGTTGGAGCTCCGGCGCACAGCTGGCTATGACGCCGTTACCTCACAAGGCGGGGGATGCGGGCCATTCAAAAGCTTGCATCTATTATCAGGAGCCCCATGGAGCCCCCACCTCCGACACACACTCCTGTTTTTTAAACACAGCCATTTTCGCTGTACGCACCTAGAACACAAGAGCAAACGGGTTTCAAGTTGCAATTGCATTGAAGGGAATATTGTGCTCAGCTCGTTGCCAGCAGAAGCACACGCCATTTTTCTCAGCCAGCATCATACTTTGTAGCAAGGTTACTGCGCCAAGTCAAGCCGCGCATCAAGATATGTTATACCAGCGTGTGAAATCTGTAAGTGTTCCTGCTTTGCAGAACCCAGGTACCGGCATCGCAAGCTGGAGATGTAGATTCCCACAAAAACCTCTCCAACCAAGCATCCAGCCACCGAAGCCTTTAGCCTTCAGGAGCCCCCGTTACCTCAAGGGCTTGCGGTGGTTAAGGGTGCATGGCGTCTAACATTGCTTGGGGCACCTCTACCTCCAGGCGAAGTCCTGCGCTACTTCGTGCGAGCGCGCTCCCGACGCCAGGAGGCAAGCACCCAGGCACGAGGGAAGAACGGGGTTTACAGTAGGGGTTGAGGGTAGCTGGACAGGGTAATGCGCAGTGCAATGAATTGCAATGAGTTCATAGAAGATCAGTGTTAACCTCAGAAACCATCTTGCGAATCAGAAACCACGAGTCAGAAGCCAGCAGCGAATTCGCAGGATTCGCAGGATTCTCAGGAATTGAGAGTCAAAACTCAGCCGCTGAATCCTTGGAGAGCAGCATGCGAGTCGACGACCGAAATCACTGCTCACAAAATGTTGTTTTATGTCATCGCTTTCCTTGTATCAGAAACCACGAGTCCGAAACCAGCGTGAACCAGCAACTGCGCATCAGAAACTGGGCCGGGGGGGAGTTCTCACGTTCGAATCAGCCGTCTCCTGGTGTCCGACTCAGCCGTCCTTATTTCCCGTTCAGCCGTTCTGGTTTTCGACACAGATCCGGTTTCCCAGTTTTTTCGGTTGCGGTGTTGCGATGTTAAGAGCCCGTTCTGGTTTCCCATTCAGCGCTGTTCTTGTGGTTCCAACTTTTTCCCAAGTCGACGGCCCCTGCGATTGAAATCTGCAAAGCTGCACTGGGAAGACGGTTTTTTGGTGAGAGAGAGAGAGAGACAGCTGCGGTGTTGGGCTTTGAGATGTTTTGTTTTCTTCTTTGTCCCTGTTCTTAACTCGACCTCAGGCGGTAAGCACACCACGGTGCCACCACTGGCATTTGTTTTTGCACAGAGAGTTGTCCGCTCTCGCCGCTCAGACTATAGGAAGAAAATGAACCCAAATGCGCCAACAGTTTAGTCGGGAGAAGTGTTGTGCCGATGATGTACTCTCGCTCTGACCTGTGTCTACTCAAGACTCTCAAAGAATGTGTCAGTCGCAGGCTCCCGATGTCCATATCCTCCAAGAAGCTGTCTACAGCTCCTTGCAGCATCTTCGACCCCAAGAGTTTGGGGTGGTAGGGTGTAGGGCTTAGGGCAGCTTCCCGTTTGGTGATATGACAGCAAGACATGCGATGCATGGGTTTGACTTCTTGATGTGCCTCATGTGACCACATCAAGTGAAGGCAGCGTTCTATATACAATTATATACAGATATGTTCATGTATATCGGAGCCTTCAAATCGTTCATTTCTTTGTTTTGCCGACATGGCCCAACTGTGTAAGCCTTATAATCAATTATTAATGATGGCACATTTCGGACTTCCCAAAGGCAGGGCCTCTCCCGAGCGCGGCCTGCGTCCTCTCTGCAGGACATGCGCTCTACGAAGTTCATCACAACTCACGATCCCGTTGAGGGCTGGGGCACTGCATTTTTCCAGTCGTAAGCGGCAGTCTGGCATCTAACTTCAGATGTTCCGCCAAATGAGGTCAGGCGAGAACATGGTTTGTATGATTTTTCACATGGCGAGCCTTCCTGAACCAGGATGCACAGGTCGAGGTGGAAAGGCTTGATAGTCACAGGACACAACTGAAAGGTGGGGGCTTAATTCAAGTCCTGCAGGTCGCCCTGCGGCTTCTTCATTCTAAGCATGCACGGACCTATTCATTTCAAGTTCATGCGTGCGCTTCGTTCAGTACACTCACGCCTTTAGAATGATTATATCACCTTGTTCATGCATTATCGCAACTGTCGGTTCCGGACACAGAAGGTTGCTGCCGGAGGTCTGTCTCAGTGAAAGCACAAAGAGGTTTCATCTCTCATCCTCTTTTGGGTTTTCGAAAGGGGATTCGCTGCTAAATCCAGAACCCTAACTTCAGACTCTACATATACCAAACACCACACCCACCGGCCCACCACACCCCATACCCAGAAGGGTGGATGTCCCGAACATTCTACGGTTGAACCCATCGGCTCTCTGAAACAATTCTCCGAAGCATCTTAATTGACCTTCTGGTTGAAAAGCCATGCAACGGCTGCGCCAGGAAGCCAATCTGGTCGTTTGGTTATCTGCTGGTCGCAGCGTGGTCTGCGGCCCCTGGGCCCCAAGAGAGTTCAACTCCCAAGCTCCCTTCAAGTCCCCCCCCCCAGATGTGGCAGAGTTCGCCTCCGCAGTCCCTACATGACAGAAGGCTTCTGCAGAGCGAGCAGAGACTCATCTAGTGATGAAAATGGTTTTAGGGAGTGGGGGGGGGGAGGGGAGGGGTTCTTTTTTTAGTTCGGGATTGGTAGTTGACCCTGTCTCCTTCAGACAAGCAGCATCAACGGTTGTTTCGCCGTGGCCCCACTTCTTGGTTCTTGATCGTCATCGTATGCTAACACGGCTCTTTGGCCGGAGGTGCATCGGTCAGCACGGATTTGCAAGCGCAGCGATATCACAGCCACCAGAGTCGTGAAGCGGACAGCGCAGCTGACCGATTGTAAGCTGTAAACGTGTCCTCTTCCGTTCATCTTCGGATCCAGGGTTTTCCTGTGCATCGTTGAGATGTCTTGCCGACAGAGCTTCTGTATAACCCCTGCATGGCTGACAAGTCTGTAGGTCTTCCAGTGCTTTTCCGCCGAAGTGCCGCGCCAAACTTGCCACTTGGGCATTTGCGAGCACAGCACGTAGCTGACCGTGTGTGTGAGTGGGCGAGAGCAGGGCAGAGAGAAAACAGCGAGAAACCTTCAGAATCCAAAAGAAGGAGGCAAGCTTAGCAGCGCATTCGGAACCAGGCAGGTCTAAGAAGTCCTTGTTGTCTTGCAAAGGCTATACTCCAGTGCAAGCATTGCCCCCTCCAAACCGTCTCATGCAGCGCCCTCAACGGCAGCTCTCGTCCCTAAGACCCTTTTGGGGCCTCCACCGCGCTGTGGGATTCGCGCTGGGAGCAGCGGCGAAGCTGCAGGAGGCTGCTCGCGCTGGCAAATATAAGAGCCCTAACCGCCGCCTTTAAGGTGCTACAACATTGCTCCCCGCATGGCATCCCGAAGATGTCATGGTATTGCCTTAATAAGCATTTGGGTATCGTACAGAAGCGGCTGGACTCGACACGGTTGCGCAAGTGTTGCTGTGCCTGTTGGAACGAAGCCTTCCCGGAAACTGATCGAGCGCTTGGAAGCTAGATGCGTCCTGCATCCACACGGGCTGAAGTAAACAAGTTCTATGAAGCTTGCCCCGCTTGCCCGGCTCGCAAAATGACACAGAAAACTTTGCACGTAAGCCCCCAAAGCCGAGCCAGCATGGGCAGGAGATCGACCCTACACTGCCCTACACCTGCACCCCTAAACTCCGGTTTGGGGTTTAGGGGGTTAGGGTTTAAGGGGTTTAAGCTTAGGGGCTTTGAGGTTGAGGATTCTTGTGGGGCTGAATCAGGGGGAGCTGGTCCTGGATCCCTTTGCTGGCCGCGGGGCGCTGATCGCTGCCCTGGCCCGGCGGTGGCCAGGCCGATATGTAGGCGCGGGGCCGGTTGGATATGATCTGGTTGAGGAGGGAAAGGGCTCAGAAGGTCTCGGGGAAGCTATCATCAAGACTTCTATACTTCCATCGTGCAGCATACAGTTGACACACGGGCCAGAAAGTGCCAGTGACTAGTGACTGGGCATTATTACAGCCTCACTTGCAACCTAGCCAGTTCATCTCAGACAGCAGAGCCACAGACCCTCTTGCGCCAAGACTTGCCTTGCGCTTGATGTGTCAGGCATTGAGCTTGATCCGGCGCGAGTGGCCGAAGCGGAGGTCATCACAGCTGGGGGTGGGGGGTGGGGGGGTGGGGGGGGGGGGGGGGGGGGGGGGGGGGAGCTTCGAATGCTTGTCAGTGTACGTGCACAATGGTGATTCGAGTGCAAGAATCACGTTTACTTTCACGTCTCAGATGCGACATGTCTGAGTCTCTTGCACGAAAGTCAGAGTGGCTTCGGGCTTTGGTCTGCCCTATGCAGACACGGGTTCAAGGACTTTCAATCTTTTCGAGAGTTTCCTATCCATCAAGCCCCATGGGCAACTCCGAAGAGAAGCGGCGACTGATGACCTCATGGAGTGCCACCGATCAGCCTTGGCCGGAGCATCCAAGGCCACAGCTTCGTAGGGCAACCTGGAGGACGTTGAACGGCCGGTGGCGATGTCGGATCACTCCCATGGCAACGGCCGATCCCAAGGAGATGTTGGAAGTTCGGGAGACGGACCAGGAGATTCTGGTGCCTGGCTTGGCTTTGGCACAAGCTGGTGCCTGATAAGATCTGATGAGATAATCTAGTACGATATGATGTGAAAAAACTCTTTTGCTTGAGGGTTTTCCGAAAGATTTGGGGAGCTTAAATGTGCATGGTGAGATTGAGTGGAGCTTGGTTGCTTCACATTGATGCTATACTGTTATAGAATCAGGGGCAAAGAGCCACAGAGCTGAGCCCAGGTTGAGGGATGGAACTCGGGTTTCCTCTGCAAGCTTCGTGCAGCTTGCAGGTGCCTTTCTGCTTGGAATCGACTTTGGGAGGGGTGGATCGGAAGTTGGAACCGAATGAGGAGCTCTGGTACCATCGCACTTTCGACAAGTTTGGCAGTTCCAGGCTGGCATCGGGATAGGCCGGTTGAGCCACAACAGTCGGGTGGCTTTGGATCATTTGCGGAAAGCCTGGAACGGTTTCTTCCCCACTTTCTTGTTCTTTTCAACAGTTGTCGTCGTCAAATACAACGTTGCTTGTCACTCGGATGATTTGACGTTTCTCGAATGGCGCACTTGCTATCACTTGCTGCAAACTTCAAACTGTTGGTTAAACTCGCAGGCTCCTGCTGCATTTCGAAGCCGTTGACTACAGCGCCAGTGTTTGGGTGAACGGAGTCCTGGTTGGATCGCACCAGGGCGGCTTCACACCCTTCGAGTTTGACATCACCGAGGCTGTCGTCCCCGACTTGAACCACCTGGTGGTTCGAGTCATCGATGCCACTGGCAACTTCCAACCACGCGGAAAGCAGTCGAAATCGCCCCGTGGTATTTGGTACACCCGAGTCTCTGGCATTTGGCAGAGCGTATGGCTGGAAGCAGCTCCTGGGATGGTTGTTGATGGGCATTGTTGTGTATGGTGCTTGTTGGTTTGTGTTCGTTATTTGTAGATCCTCGTGGGAGAAGTGACATGAGTATCCCTGTTTCAGAAGCTTTGCTTGCTTTAGGGAATCAGCGGATGTGGCGAGAAAGGATAGCAATGAATGGCTTGGAACTCCTGGCCAAGCTGCTCTCAGTTTACATTGTTACTGCAGCAAGTGTTTTAAAATGGGAGGGGCACGCCCCATATTCTGATTTTCTGTGTGTTAGACTTGTATGAACTATAAAACAGGTTAACCCTAAGGGCACACTGAAGCTTTCAGTTGCTTGCTTGGCTATCTTTACAGTGCAGAAGGTTTGCGGGGCAACAGCTTGACGTCTTGTTGCGCGTGCGAGAGTAAGAATTCTATCATGCATCTCTTCAATCCGCTATCATACAGCATCTACAACACGAGTCAACATGTGTTGTTTTAATGAGTGGCCGGCATCTATCTATGTCTATATATATATATATATTTATTTATTTATGTATGTTTGCATGTATGTATGTCTATCTATATATATATATGTATATCAACGAACCATATACCACGGACGTCCGTCTATGAAAATTGTTTGAATTCACCGAGGTTCCAGCGTCGTACATTGCCGATCTGAGAATTCACAGCAGCTTGGACCCCCCCGCTGTTCGGATCTCCGCAAGGGTGGAGCCGTCGGACAACCAGCTGCAACTGCGGGCTGTGGTGCTGGAGAAGGGTCTGAAAGTGGTGGAGGTACAAGGAAACACCAAGGACCAGCTCTCAAAAAGGATCTCAACGGGTATATTTCTGCGGTTCTATACATAATAATTACATTCTTCAGTTATACGCACCAGCACCCGCAGATGTATAGATATCAGTGCATTTACATCTAGTCTTGTCGCAGTGGTACATAGACTTGGTATCTACATACACGAAGCTGCAATACGCTACTTGTGTTGTGCGTCGTGGGTATCTATCAGCTCCTTTCCAGACTTGGCCGCTAATTTGGCAGTTGAACTCATTCTGATGGCACAGAAAATGATCCCAAGCGCTGCAGAGGAGTTGAGCTTCGCAGTGCCGAGTGCAAAGTTGTGGACCCCAGAGAATCCGCATCTTTACGATTTGCAACTTGACCTCCTGGATGGCGATGTCGTGTCTGATACCGTGGAATCCTATGTGGGAATCCGCACCGTTGGGAAGCAGCGGGATGCGGCGGGGCACTTGCGCATGACTGTGAATGGAGAGATGTGCTTCCACCTGGGACCCTTGGATCAGGGTTGGTGGCCCGACGGGCTCTTGACTGCGCCATCAGATGAAGCCATGCGATCGGACGTCGAGTTTCTGAAGCAAGCTGGGTTCAACATGATCCGCAAGCACGTAAAGCTGGAACCACGCAGGCGCCCTGTGAGTTGAACAGTTGGGGTTTGCTTCCTGCGCGTCTTTGCAGCAAGTCCTACTTGTGTCTAGATCCAGTCTGGCTCTTGCATGAAAGTTAGAGGTTTTGGATCTCGGTCCTTAACAACGCTGGAGGTACTACTACCATTGCGATGTGCTTGGCATCATGGTGTGGCAAGACCAAGCGTCAGGCACGGAGAAGGAAGGTGATTGTTTCAGAGTCCCACCTTGGACCCGATTGGAGCCGGCGGGTCAAGATGCAGTCTGGCCAGATTGGGCCAAGAAGCAGTTTCTGCTTGAGTTGCAAGAAATGGTGGATGCCCTCCACAACAGCCCGGCGGTCGTTGTTTGGGTCCCCTTCAATGAAGCCTGGGGGCAGCATGACACGGTAGAAATTGGCAGGTGGCTGCAGAACTACGACCCTTCACGGCTGGTGAACATCGCTAGTGGCGGTAATTTTTTTGAAGTGGGTGACATCGTGGATCACCACAACTATCCGGAGGCCACCTTCCCTGACAGTGAAAGGTTTCGGCCTTTCATCAAAGTCGTTGGCGAGTTCGGTGGACATGGCCTAGTGTTGCCGGAAGAACACCTTTGGCAAACTTCTCGGAAGAATTGGGGCTATGACGTCTTGCAGGACATGTTCAAACCTGCTTGCCATTGCCTCACTCTGGTCGTTGTGCCATAGGAATGTTATATAGTCAGAGGGCCCGTTCTGCTTTCTTTGCAGTCAAGCGGCATCGAAACCCCCGAATTTGGCTCACCAAGTATTGAATGTGTCTTCCTTGGATGCCTGAAGGATTCTTCCGAGCTGGAAGAGAAGTATGCCAAGTCCATAGAAATTCTTTGCGATTGGATGCAACGTGGCATTGCAGCAGGTGTGTATACTCAAACCACCGACGTGGAATGCGAGGTAAATGGTCTCTTGAGTTATGATCGCAAAGTGCAGAAGCTAAAATCCAAGTTTCTCGCGGAGGTGCACAGCAATGTTTGGCAGACGTCAGCCCAGTTGAGGACAAGCGCACATGGAGGATATCACAGTCCCGAGGTGTCAAAATCGGAAAGGTCATGATGCATTGGCAGTCGCTGGTGTCGATTCGGCAACTTCATCCATTTAGGACATTGCCTGCGGGAAGCTTGAAGCCGAAACTGAAAACAGGCTTGACTTGCCATGCCGGCTGCGTCCGCAGCATGGGAAGATGCTTTATGGACGGCAACATGACACTATTGGCGTCGGAGTGCCCTCTTTGCTCAGAAGATCTCCCACAACATGTACGAGGCAAAGCGTGAGACGCTACGTTTGATTGCGTTGCCGAAGCTCATAATCTGCTCTCAACCGGCTTTCATGCGCGGCGGCCCGCGGCTTAAAAGGGGCTCAGTCGCTCAGTCGATCCAAGCAAACCAATTACTGACCAACGAGTAACATGCTGCTTGTGTTACTCCCTTGCGAGCTGGTTCTTGATCATACATATCATTCACCAAGCACAAAAATACATTTATCACCGGCCACCACTGACCCAAAGCACCCGCGAGGCCAACTTGAAATCCGCTGGGCTCGGTGGAGTGGCAGAGGTCCGATGTGGCGACGTGCCGTGGACAGCATTAGGTGTAGAATGGTTTTCATTCGGCGCACACACCACCAAGAAGCTTCTGGGAAACAGGCTGACGTATTGCGTTGAGGTTGAGGTGGGGAAGGTCGGGACGACGTGCTGTTCTGGAAGTTGCACGGCAAGGACGACTTGGCGGTCTCAACAAATTCTGAAGCCTAGAACTCCTCACCGTCCCGAATTCTGAAGCGCCAAGTGCCAAGAGCCGAAGGCAACCCCTCCTGACATTGGTATGAGGCTTGTCAAGTAGGCACCCCTTGTACGTTTTTTGACTGGTTCGACATGGCTTCCAGAAGAATCCTTATTTAGAACAAGCACCATGTGTAGCTCACGATAGCACACAACCACAAGACAGACGCGCAGACACACAGACACACACACACACACACACACAGACACACACCACACCCAATACGCGCACACACAATACGCACATCAAGCACACACGCACACAATACACACGCACACAATACTCACACACACACACACACACAGAGACACACACACACACACACAGAGACACAAACACACACACACACACACACACACACAAACACGCAAACACACACACACACACACACACACACACACAAACACACACACACAAACACACACACACACACACACAAACACACACACACACACACACACACACACACAGAGACACACGCAGAGACACACGCAGAGACACACGCAGAGACACACGCAGAGACACACGCAGAGACACACACAAACACACAAACACACACACACACACACACACACACACACACACACACATAAACAACTCGCGCACACACGCGCGCACACACACGCACGCACGCACACACACACACACACACAGAGACACACAGACACAGAGACACACAGACACAGAGACACACAGACACACACACACACACACATGAAGGACTTCAGGGAGGGATCGGGTTTAGATCGCTACATGTGTTCGCTGAACTGCTGGATAGCCCGGTTCAATCTGCGACCTAGCCCTTCTCAGGCTCGGCAGCTTCCACTACCAGATGCCACTTGCCTACTCTGGATGGCCTGATGTACCACAAGTGATAATATCAAGCACCTGTTCAAAGGGGGTTCCAAGAATAGCTAAGTGTTTTGGATGTGTGAGCTCGCGGGGCTGAGCCGGCTGTTGTTCTGAGGATGTCCAGGCCACGGCTTTTCTTCCTTGGGGTGTTAAGGCACCCAGAAGTGCCAGATGTGACTTCAGATGTCGTTGCAGCGTGCGAAAAGGCACTGTCTGTGTTTGTACGACAAGGACTCTGTCGACGTCATCGTCTCGGATCTTCCGTTTGGCCGCAAGTACGGCAGCGTGGGACCCCAAGCTGCGAAATAACGGTCCACTGAACATGGGTGGATGGTCGACATCTGTGTACAGGTACGCAACTTCAAATAGTTCTGGGCGATCATGTTCTTCGAAAGATTGTACGTTCGTCAAGCAATTGTTAACTTCCGAAGCCGTTGGCAGCCTGTGTCACAATATGGTCGACAACCAGGCTTATAAGGGCTGTTACGAAGGCTAGACTGGAAAGGGGCATACGCGTAGGTCGACGACGCCAGACTTAACCCCTCACAGCCCCCCGCGAATCCGGAGCAGAACAGCAACTCCGCAGCAATAGGTGGAGGGCAACCGCAGCCTCTATCCGGCAGCCTTCCGAGAGGCAAGTCTTGGGAGCGAGCTTTCTTCCGTTTGGCGAAAGCGTTCAGACCCCTCAATCCATTGCTACATTACTAAACCACCAAGCCAGATGGCGCGCGTTCTCCATCCCCATGGCCGTGGCGTCGTGGCCACCGGGGACGAAAGTGCCGAGGCGGAACCATTTCGTGTACAAAACCATTACAAGGCTCACATTGCAAAACGTGCGCCTCGCGAAAAAGGGGACTGTCAACTGCTGAGTGGTCTAATTGTAGGCGCTGGCGCGCTCCACCTCGGCAGCCGGGACGGCCCAAGCCACGGGACGCGCACGTTCGCGGGCCAAGCGGCGCACCTTGGAGTTTCCAGTGGAACGGTCGGGGTGCAGAAATTCAAAGCGACGGTGGATCGAGGAAAAAGACACCGGAGAGCAGCCGGCCCGAAATGACCCGTAAACCCGAAACCTTGAGAACCGTGTAAGTGAGCTTGGGGGGACGTGTCCGGGTTTGCCTCGAATGGCGGAAAAACCCGGACAGGCTTGCAGTGTCAGCAGGCTGTGCAAGGCAAGGCCTTGGGGTGCTCTTGTTGTGGTCGTGGGCTTGTTGCCAGGGCAAGCTTGGGGGTGGTAGGTCCGACGGGTCCCAGGACTGTCGCAGGGGGGTTCCCACAATGGGACCGGCCCGCTGGCCGCAGCTCACCCCAGGTTCTTTGCAGCTGAGTAGACGTTGTGTTGGTGTGCGTGGGGGGAAATGGGGCAGGGGGGGAAGGGGGAAAGGAGACCAGTCCTCGGTCTGCTTGCTCCAGACGCAATAGGCCTTAGGGCCTTAGTGCTTAGCCGGGTGAAACGTGAGTCGAGCAGAAAGACGCAGCGCTTGCGTTTTGGTTGCCAGCCTGTGGCTTCGGTCAATGTAGTATCCGATCAGCGCAACACCCAATTCCTTGAACCCTAGAAGCCTCCCAAACCCTAAAGATTCGACTACGCTTAATTATTGCCAGGAATTATTGCCGGAACCTATCGGTATGTTGATGACTCTCGCTGTCCTTGTAGACTACTATACCGACTCATACCACTGCGCACCCGAAAAACAGGTCCTCGACTCGGCGCTGTCCGCTGCGCAGCTCTGCCGTGTCGGTGCCATGGCTTTTGCCTTCGGAGGCCCCTCGTGTATGGGCTTTAGGACCCTCTCATGTGCATACGGCCTTTGATATTTTGGGTGGTTTGAAAATTAGGGCTTTGCAGGGCTGAGGGTTGAGAGGTTGGGGCTTAGGAGAACTGGCAGCAGACCCAGACATCAGCCACAACCTCTAGTTCACTGTTGGCACCCTTTGATCCCCGCCAGCAGCCCCTTCGTGCCAGGCAGGAGCGATGATGCTGGTTGCAAAGCCGTTTGCTTCACCAAAGGTGGTGGCGACAGGCTCGCCCTCTGTCACAGTACATTGCTCGACCTCCTTCAACCTCTTACGGCTCTGTAGACCAATATACCCCCAAAACTCACAAACTCTAGATCTACACTGATCTACACCAACGAGACCTCACGGACTTTATCTGACTAGCGCAGCCTATTGACAGGCTGCTCTTCGACTGGAGCCTTGAAGAGGCCGAGGCTCGGCTGTGAAACCGTGAAAGGGGGACCAAGTGCCATGGATTGGGGGGGGACCATGGAACAACCTGTGCCCCGCAAAAAATGGCCTCCAACAGTCTCGCAGGATTCATGGCTTGGCGCCAGGTACATTGGTACATGCGAAGCCTTTAACTGTGCCCCCAGAGCCTACAAAGCCTACACCGGCAACTGGACCAGGGCGATTGGCAGCGCAAGTGGCGTTTTGCAGAGACAGTGCCCAAGCCCAAGCATGAAACGGGGCATTCTCGCCATCATTGGTGTCAATGCCTCCGACTTACTGTACATGAGGGGCTTTGTCATTCTGCAATTTAGTATCTAGGGTTGGGCAGGGCTGAAATTACGCCGGAGACATGGCACATTCTCCACACATTCGCGTCCTCGGGGCATGAACACCTGTCAATCGTCCTTACGGGACGGACACAGACAAAAACTTAAAGTCGGAAGTGAGGCGAAAAGATCAGCTCCCTTGAGAAATCAAGATGCCGCCGCAAGAGTTTATGTGCGGCACCGTATCCAAAGCTCACACTTGATGCACAATGTCGCATTGCTTGAGCCGAGGATGGACGTCTACTCGCCTGGCAGACCTGCAGGAAAAAAGGAAAAGCCATGAAGCTAGATTATCACACACGGCGTATTGGGCACATCAGTTGAGCTTGAATGCTGCTTGGTGTCGGGAGGTGCATGTATTCAATTTCGTCTATCAAGATCAGAAGGAGGTAGGATGCTGGTCCATTTGGCCAACACTGGGCCAACACATTTCCAGCAGTCTGATCCGAATGCACGCGGTCAATTTCAAAGCAAATTCTTCGACCGCTGGGAACCCGGAGCCACCGATAATCCCTGCACACCCTAGAACCAAGACCTTGGCTCCTAAACCTGACATCCGAGCCTTCTTGTCTAGATGCCCATGAAAACACTTCCGCAGCTTCCGCGCGTGCGCGGGTGAACTGGTTTAGGGATTCGATTGCCTGGCGTTGGTCCATCAGATGGCCCCGGGCACCTGCAGATGCTGTCCATGTGCAGGCGGAGCTTTTGCTCAGACGCTGTTGGGGTCGGATAGCGAGCATTGCGAGATTTTGGCCGTTAAGCTTCACCAGCATCTTGAGCACATGTATCCAAAAGAGGGTCTGTTTCGGCCTCTGAGGGGATCTCGCTTTGATTCGCTTTGCCAGGTCTCTGCCGACACCCTCTGGCGGCCGGGTGCTTGGAAGATGGTTGTCCGTGCACAGAGGGGCACGCCTAAAGCTCGCCACCCCCCCCCCCCCCAAGATCTGCATCCGAGTACTTGTAGTCTTGGCTTTCCTGACATCTACTATCTCACGCGTCCAAAAAACACATCCTTCTTGCCAACAACTTTTCAAGCCATGACAAAGTCCTGATGGCTTAGAGTAAATGATTTGTTCGCATCACCCTATGCACTCGGATTGCTTCCTGGTCTTTTTGTTCGAGGCCTACCATCCTTCAGTCTTCATTTTCTGCATTTGAAGAAACAATACCCTATATACATACATGATGTGGGTACTTCTTATACTTTTGTCTTTGCATTTTCACAGGAGGCAAGCCCTACATACTACAAGCATAGGCATGACCCCATGGGATTCAAAGGTTCGGATTTCATGCCCAAACCTCAAACCCTATCGGGTTAAAACCCTGTAGGGCTAACCTCGTCAACGTTTTAGAGATAAACCCCGAAAAGCCCTGAGCCTTTTAATCCCTATAGGGGTTTTAGGTTTAAATGCCTAAGCCTGAGGCTCAAATCCACATACTAAAGTATGCACCTGAGGTCAGAGGCCTTTCTCTCCAGGCGAAGTAGTCTACGGGCATATTCGTGATAAGGCACTTGCCTTTTTTGTCGCAGAACGATAAGGTGACCGCCCAAAAGCGAAGACGGTATGTCAGTGTAGACCCAAAAGCAGTGTGCGCATTTCCTGCTAAAATTTGCGTTCTTGTAGAGACTGGCTGTAGCCCTGTTGCGTCAGAAGTCCAACATAGACGGAAATATTCGAAATGAGGAGCTGTCCCCAATGTGCCTAAAGCGACAACGAAGCGACAGCGAGAAAGGTCGAAAAAGTAGCCATGGTCAAGAAGCGGTCACTTTGACTTGTTTCCATAGTTCCAGCAACATGGCTTCACTGAGGGCTTAGGTTTAACAAGAGGGCTTAGGCCTTACGATTTAGGGTTTAGGGCTTAGGGTTTAGGGTTTTTGTTTATGCGATAGTCCCAAAACCCTGCAGAACGATAAGGTGACCGCCCAAAAGCGAAAACCCTACTCAAATGTTGGAAGGGCGGCCTTAAACCCTATAGGGTTTTAACCCTCCAGGGCTAACCCCATGAGGGTTTTAGAGATACGCAACCGAAACCCCCAAAAAAATGCCTATAAGCCTGAGGCTTTGAAGTTCTGAGAGCCCGAGGCCAGACGCCGCGTAAGAGGAGAGGTGGCGGCGGCGGCACCCGCAAGAAGGTTCCCGGTGCATAGAAGAGGCAGATAAGTGTATCTATGTATAAAATGTATGTATATATATATATATTATGTATATATTGTAAATTCTGCAAGTATATGGTTCCATAGGGTTCTGGCTATGCGGGGTCTGAAGCCGAATCTTCGCGCGTGACATCGTATCACCTCGAATCACTGGAACACTTCTGGTTCAGGTTTCGAGTTGGAGGTTCGGGCCATTAAAAGGGGTGGCCGCTCAAGTTCCAGGTGCATTGTTGAGTTGTGGCTATGGCTTCGAGAGACTCTGGACGCTTATTTTTTATCCTGGTCGCTAGACTCAAGGTCGCCTTAGGACAAGATGGCGGATGTACAACAATGATCTTGTTTGGCCGTTGAGCTGGTCACATGCTATGGCTGGTAAAATTTTCCATTATTGGCATTGTTGCTCAACACTTGTCCAAATGTTGTGCTTGTCTTTGACAGGACGAAAATCAAAACCAGCCTGTGACTGTGGATGTGGGAAGACAGCCCGACCGAAAAGTGAAAACAAAGGACTTCACGAATCCCTGCTGCTTGGGGTTAGAGCGTCCACATGCCACATTGGTTTAATTCAGCCTCACTTCTCACCGGCATCAACATTAACACATAAGGCAGAGGCCGGCAAGATCTTGAAGCAGTGATTGAGATGGCAGGTGGCTGCAATTTTGCGGCGTCTTCGCGCGAGCCCAAAGAACCAGGCATGATTTGCTCTTGACATCCCGAGCAGCTGCTGTTGGCGATGGCGACTGTGGGTTCGATGAACGGTGGTGCGAGTGCGGCGGTTTCGACACAACTGCCTTCATCCTCGAGCATTGAAGCCATGTTGCGATGTACTCGTACTTGTGCTATACAAGCAGCACGTGGTATGTCTTCTACAGCCAGTCGTGTGTGAACATGACGGTTCGAAGCATCTGCTTGTCGATGTCAACACAACGTAACAATGTCAGACCAAGCCGCAACCCTGCTTCGAACCCAAACGAAAGCCAAAGGGTTACCAGATTGACCGGGTTCACGATATGATCTCTGTAGCCTTTATGAGCCATACCCCACCCAAGCCTCAACCCAGCAACTCAGCACAACCAGATCTGGAAAATTCGTTTCAAGCCCTCTCCGCGCCCTAAAAACCCCCTGCTGTGCAAGCCCAAAAATCTCCAGAGCCGTAGAAACCACCTTTGAACAGCGGAGCTCAAGTGCCGCCTTGGCCCTTCTGGTCCATGCCATGCCAGCAGCCCGCATGGAGGCCAAAAGCGTTTCCTGGCGTCTCATAAAACCTTTGAGGGGTTTTTTCGGGATTGCGAGCATCGCATGGCTTGACTCTGCACGGTTATGCCGGATTGCAGCTCTGGGTGCTTCATATCCCCGTAGCAAGCGCCCTCCGAAGTGTCATCCAAACCACCTTTGTCTCTGCGAACTCAGGAGGTGCAAAATGGAAAGAGGCCTGGCGTGGCAACTGTTGAAGCATGATGTTCCCTTCAGCTGCTGTGCTATTCATGCGCGGTGCAACTATGCATATGTGCCATGGGAAGTCTTGTGTGCTTCGCCGGCCGACCTCCCAAGCCAGCTCTGCAACTTACACGAGCCCGAAACCTGGGCTGACTATTTGTAAATTTGATGTTTGTTTTTTTTGTTGGGGGGGTGGGGGGGGGGGAAGGGTGGGGAGGTAGGGCTTCGAAAAAGTATCCAGCTGAAGTGAATGTAGGCCCTAAGCCCTGAACCCAAGTTGCATCTGGCAGACCCACCCTGGCGGCGGAGTTCGCGCCGCCGCCCAGAGGGAAGGCCGGTAGCGCTTTTTCGTGTGAAGGCAAGCGAAGCTAAGAAGCTGAACGAACTTTCCTGGCTCTCGTCGAAACTGAAAACTGTAAGTCAGAACCGAAGATCCTGGAGCATGAAGCTTCCGTCTCCAAACAAACTAAGTACCTATCCGACATGTATAGCTCTTACAATTGAAGCAAACAAGGGAGCTCAAGATTCGAATTGTCCTACCCAGAAAGCCAGGCAGCTGTTGCCGCTGCAACCCGTGAGGAGTGTGTGAGGCACTCGATATGGCCCTGGGGAACTGCAGGAAGACGAGGGATTCGGGTTAATACTGCATAGATATATATATATATATATACATACATACATACAAGCCAGCTTAGTATATAGATATACACATGTATATGCTGCCCTGCCCAAAACAACCCACCGCAAGGACAGTGTAAGGAAGTTCGCGTCCGCGCTGTATTTCTGCCCAGGATGCGATGCCAAGGCGGTGAGTTTTCACGAGCGCCCTTGTTGTGGTGATACTAGGAATAGCAGTAATCGACAGTAGTGTTTTGGATGTGGAGGCGGCGCTGTATTTCTGTTCATATGCGATGCGAAAGGTGGTGTGTGTGTGTGTGTGTGTGTGTTCACAGAAACGTGCACATAGCGCTGATACCAGTAGCAGTAGTAGCAGTAGTAGTAGGAGTAGTAGTAGTAGTAGTAATAGCCGCATGGAGCAACGACGCAAGACGACGACTCTTGTCACCCCCATGCGATCATCCTGCCTTCGCGACTATCCCTCCTTGCGAATCATCGTAGCCATGTTCGCAGAGGAAACCAACCGATCATCGGGGGGTTGTTTTTTTGGATTCAGTTTGATTCAGTATGTGAATCAATTCGGGATCCAAGGCTCAAGATTCAGGATGCCCCGGAAAAGATTTCCTGAGCATCTTGAAGCTTGAAGTGAATCAAGCTTGCCCCTTCCCCCACCCCCCCCACCCCAGAACCCTCAGCGATGAGTTTCTTCCTTACAGTGCGTTTTTTGGGGGGGCACACCATATGTATGCACATATACTTCTATACAACACGTATGAATCGGGTTTTAAGTTCACGTCAAGTCAGTAGCCCCAACTTCCCTTATCCGAAAGTGTCTGCATACGACCATGAATCTCTAAAGTGTATCTTCACACACGTACATATGGTTGTGCACATACTTCTTGTACGCCATGTGCAGCTTCCACAGAGCCGGTTGTCCATGGCCCATCTATCTAGCTGCTAAAAAGTCTGATTAACCCCGCTATCAGTCAACACATCACACAATCCACCCACTATGGAATGCACGTGTATGTATGTATATATCCAGCGATGCACGGTTCATTGTGTGCTTGTTCTATTTGTCCTTGCATAACTTGCCCAACTCAACTGCAACCGCGAAAGCAAGCCAGGCAGGCGGTGGTTGCTGACTGCCCGGAGTGCCTGGGTGAAGAGGCCATCGCAGCTCGGCGAGGTCCGTCATTCTGAAGTAGCTTAATTCGTGTTATTTCGGACTTGAGGTCTCCATGCCAGATAAAGCCGCAGGTGTCCGAATCACTTTGGCAATCACTTAAAGACTTAAAGCCAAAATCCCACAGAAGGGCCTTTTGTCCCCAGCACCCCCTCAGTGGTCCCCATGGTCCTAAACACCGTTCTGTCGTACCAGATATTATGCGTTATAGATTGTATGCTCGAAATATATACATATATACATCTATATATATATATATATATAGATATGTATTCTATATCTTGGAATCTATATTCCATATTTATATTATAGAATAGTAATTTTTGTATTAAAAATCTCCATCCCCAGGAGTATCTTGCCAACATCGCCGTGTCCGTTGTCGAAGACTCCGAGGATGCCGCGATGCTGTGGAAAGAGCTGGAGGAGATGGGCAGAGGGAACAGGATAGGGGAGGGCTTGATTGGGGGGATGGGTGGGGGGGGGGGGGGGGATGGGTGGGGGTAGGGGGGTTTCAGGTTTGTTGGGTTTGGCGGGGTTTCCCAAACTGCTTATGGTAGTTCTCGTGTGGTGCTTCTGCTGTGTTTTTGTTGCGTGTGCCTGTCTGTTGAGCGGGTTTGGATTGTTAAGGTTAGGGGGTCACGGCTTTGCAGAGACCAGCATCAGGTCAAGGCCACAGCGTACTTAACGGGATGCTCGCAACATTATCATTATTCATACTATTATCACCTTCTGAAAGCCATATCACCTCAGGTCACTTTGTGCTTTAGTAGAATATTTCGAGCTAAGTCATGTTTGGTGTGCTCTTTCATGAAATATAGCATGTTGTAAAGTGTATACTATATACTATATAGTATATAGTATGTAATATGTAGTTATATAGTATATAGTATGTAGTGTATAGTACATATTGTTCAATATAGTATATATTATATAGTATAAATTATGTAGTATACATCATACTTTGTATGTTACATATCATATAGTATATATTATATAAGGATATTTGTGTATAAATATATATATATATAATAGTAGATGTGATATATTGCATACTACATGCTTTGTATTATGTATTGTTCACTATATATGGTATGTTATATACTATGTGTTATATATTACATGTTGTATAAAGAAATTCTGCTTTAAGTACTCTACGATATATATATATATAAATATACATATACATATATATATATATATGCATACATACATGCATATATATATATATATCTTTTATGAATTGTATACTGTATGTTATACCTGGGGTGCTCGTTGGTGTTATGCTCGAAAAAGCCAGATGCCTCGAAAGGGCGGCAAACTCCTGGCACATTTGGCACGTTTGGCCCAATGCAGCCCACCCAGCCGAGCCTGGCTTTTGCCCAGCATTCAGCGACCCGGACCGGTTATGTACATATGTGCAAATGTATATTGTGTGTATGTGCATATATATATATATAATATACGTATATGGGTATAGAACATTCTGTGATATTCTTGTTTTGTATATCCCTGCATGCGTATATATATATATATATATATATGCGGACTCCAGAGCCACATGCGAACGGACGCATCCCAAACACCATGCTGGAGTTCGTGGCTGGTGAGCGCACGGTATGCACTCATGGCTTGCGGACAGTCTGCACAGGTCCCGGCCCGATGAGCACATCCCCTCGGCCCAAGTTGCGACACAAAACAAAGAAGCTTCTTCATCCAGCTAGCCATTCCGCAGTGGGGTCCAACACCCTGCTGTCGAGCTGCTGGTGGCCTTCGGATTGGCCTTCCAGGATTTCCAGGCCCGACATCCCGACCTGAAAGGCACTGAAAGGATGCAAGCTTTAATGGCATCTGACAGGAGACCCTTCAATACATTTCCCTTCCTGCTCTCCCTAGGAAACCCATTAAGAAATGTATTGGACCCCCCCTCCGGACCCCCCCTCCAATACATTCCCAAACCTGGAGGGAAGGTGTCACAAGGTGTCACCATCCAGCGCCTCAATGTTCCTTGGACAACAACCGCGCCAAGGTGCAATTGCCATCGACCGTCAGCGCGTCGTAGCCCTTCAGCGAAGCAGTTGACCATTCTGTCATGAGCACGTATTCCTTTCAAGGCCGTCGTGCCCTAGCTCGCAACGGCAGTCGCCAAAAGCCGTGCCCGCACGAGGACGTGGCAGGATCCAGTCGAATCAGAGCTGGTTTGTACGGCTCGAACAGTAAGCGCAAGGCTCGACGAGAAGCAACTCCATTCTGCAGCACCTCAGCAACTGCGCCTTGTGCTGCCAGCAATCTTCTTCTTCTAAGGTCCTCCGAGACCTTTGATCCAAAAGTACATACATAGCATTAAAATTAGCCATTGTATTCATTACATATACATTCATACATATATATATATATATTCTATATATATTTATTTATTTATTTATTTATTTATTTATTTATTTGTTTTTGTAT